CTCGACTTGGTCCATTAACTGCCTTCTGATATTTGGCTTCTCGGGGATTTTATGGAGTCATTTGGCACGCGTTTCTTGGTAGCGGTGTTCATAGTCAATTACGACTCGACACCACGCTACACTTAATGGATACTTTAAAATTTAACCAACTCATAATATAGTATGACTTGTGTTCTTTATTGCTTTTTCATAAGTGACCATGACTGTAATTCGTGAGTCTTTCCATCGATAGATTAGTAATTTAGTTGTTTAATTATGCGAAAATATTTTATTTAACTGATTTGACAAAAATAGGTAATTTTTAGAAGGAATATTTCAAGAAATGATTCATCTGAACATATGACCGACAAATAATAATATATTCTAAAAATTACGTTTCGCATTACTATACCTCTTGTAGTTGGCTTCTTTCATAAAACCACTACATCTCATGATATTCGAGCCCATAGAATATAGATGAAATAACAATTGATTTCATACAGAACAAACTCTGAAATTTTAGAGGTCACTGATTTGAACAGAAACACAACGATTTCGTCGTACATCCCTACACAGTTCATTGCCCGTCATATCAATGGATAAGGAAAATATTAACCACTCATTCAGTTGAAAGGTTATGTAATATATGAGTTATGTTGAACGTTAGAAAAATGTTGGAAGTTATACACTTGGGTCGACTACATATGTGTAATTTCGGTGACAGATTTTTATTTTATCAAACGAGTTTGTTTACATACAACTATGACGGTTAACCAAAATTTCAAAAATGACAAGTCAACATTGGCTGTTAAGGCAGATGATATTATGACGAATATCTTTACTAGAGCTTGCAATTTTCTCAACAATTTCAACTGACTCATGATTTCAACAATTGAAATTACTAAAATCTTCACAAAAACCCTTCTGATAATGATCATCTGCTCACAAAGGACTAACTTCAAGAGGCATTTCCTGGAGTTCTAGTGATAAGCCGTGACTAGTGGAGTTCAACCATGTCTGTTGTGAGATGTCGACTCACTGACGACAATGGTGGACGGTGGCGCGATTTCGTGGATTGGTTGAAGTTATACATTAATACAGCTGGATGCCGGCTCAGTGGTCTAATGGTTAGGAGCTTGCGCGCGAGACTGATAGGTCCTAGGTTCGAATCCCACCGGGGGTGGGATCGTTGATACGTGCCGCTGAGGAGTCCCATGCTAGGACGAAACAACCATCCAGTGCTTCCAGGTTTTCCATGGTGGTCTAGCTTCAATTGACTCATGGTTTCAACTTCTGAGATTTCAGAAGTATTTACCATGTCTGTGACTTTCTGAGACAGATATTTCCTACAGAAGCATTCATTCTCAAAATCTGCACCCAATCTAACTTGTTTAATACATCACAATTGTGTATTTCAATATATTCATATCAGTTCTTTTTATTAAATGCACTGAGATGTTACAGTATCACATAGACAATATGATATATTATTATATTAAACTAAATTAACTAGTTGAATAAGGAATTATGCCCTTTCATAGTGTTCCATTCCTATTCAATACTTTATTCATGTAATGTATAAAACTCAGTAAGATATCAAGGTGATGCCTTTTTCTTCCAATTCATAATCGACCAGAAACTCGAAAAGAAAATCGTTTATTTGTGAAAACTGATATTTTTCTTCTTTATATAACAGCATGGATATATGCTACAGAAAAACAAGAAGAAAATGCTGATACTTATCATTAATATAATATTGGACATTCGAATATCCATCTTGTTGTTGATAAAATCTTTCGAAATTCCAGTCTCTAAATAGTCCAGTTATTTGAATAGATAAGAGGTTGAGGGGGGGGCAGACTACCATCCTCATATAACAAATGAATACATTTATTATGCCAATCAATATGTATATAGAACTAGATAACAGGTGTGTGTATTAGATTTAAGTACTACATGTTTACAAAACATAGTCCTTTCAATAATAATCAGTCAACTTAATCAATGTGAGATGATTTGTAACTATCGTAGTGTACCTGCCATTACTATTATTTGGGAAAAATTATACTCGTAATTGTAACAGTAAAAATACTTTGTTCCTAATGTTAATCAACAAAGTGTTAGAAACTTTTAAATATAATAAGATAGTTTATTGAAGATACTATAGGAGAGAACAAACCATATACCAGAGGAGGAAGAGATTTGGAAGAAGCGCTGGAAGTGGATAGGACACACATTGAGGAAAGCACTCAACTTCATCATAAGACAAGCCCTCATTTGGAATCTTCTGGGCCAACGGAAAAGAGGAAGACCAAAGAACACATTATACCGAGAAATAGAGACAGATATGAGAAGAATGAACAATAGTGGGATAGAACTAGAAAAGAAGGCCCAGGATAGAGTAGGTTGGAGAATGCTGGTCGGTGACCTATGCTCCATTGGAAGTGACAGGTGTAAGTAATTTTATTGCAGATAGTTTAAAAATTTGAAATTGTTTAATCACCAAATATTGTTTATTTAAATATTTTTATTTCAGTTTGTTGTATAGTGTATCTTAGAATGTTAATTTATTTGTATTTATGACATCTATGTAACATTTTAAAAGTCAAGATTTTAAACAAAACTACCAAAATAACTAATAACTGCACGCCCTAAGTCATGAAATGTGAACTCAACCATAACGTGATAAATCACTAATATCCTTGAATAAATTTGGCAGTAGATTATAAAATGACCGAACTTGAATTCATAAACCAATCGATTTAAACTTAATAACTGGATGGTAGTGTAGTATTTGTCAGGAGGTGAAACATTTAAGTTCAGTTCCCTGTAGGTTTCTGAGTACATACTATTGAATTGTTCTAAACTATATTGAAACTAGTGTATGTTATTCGCTATTTTCCTACAGTTCCACAACTATTGTCAGTTTAGGATGAAAGTTGTTCTAAAATTCCATACAATCTTTACAAATTCACATTGAAAATTGAAAACAACCATTGCTTTTATTCCTATGATCATATAAATTTAGTTGAAACAACATTTAACAACTATTAAAATTAAAAGTTTAGACATCTGTAAACTCTACAGAATTTCCTAAAAGCTACTTTAAGAAGACTAAATAACATCAATCATAAGTCCAGTTTTCCAGTAGGACACATAAAATTAAAGAAATTTCATGGTACAGACGTTGCAGTTGGAACATGGGTACAGTGATATGAACTCATTTAAGATGTTTTAATAATTAGCATAGAATCTAACAATTTTGTCCTGTTAAATTCCTAAAAATAATATTAAAAACAAATACTAATATTTTAGTGTTGTTTGCAACAATGAATATGAATTAGTCCCCCTAACTAAACCTTCAACAATGATTGCAATCGTGCTAAACGAATGAGAACAAGACTTGAATCTTATACGTACAAAGATATTCCAGTTATATAAAGTTGAGCATGAATTATTTGAATAAATGCTCAAACTAATAAAAGGTGAGGATGGTTCATTCATTTGTCAAATGTATGTTAAACATTTTATGGATTCCCGATATTTACAATCTTATTTTACAAATTTATCATTATCCCGGTTGACAAAATATGAAACAAAATCAAATGGTTTAATGGAGAATTTGAAGTCAATTCATATGCTTTTGCATTTCTGAGGTAACATATCCACTCATGTTGTGCTAATGTATATATACGTAACCCAATTTTCGGGTCTGGATATGACTTCAACTTCGTATCTACCTAACTTAATAAATATCGAAAATATGATTAGATGTGATTAGGATTTATAAATAGATAATTTAATACTGGTGAATACTCGATGAACGAGTTAACGGATCTAACCTCAGTTCCGAATTCATTAGTATCAAATGAATCGGGTTCCTATTAGATCAGGAAATTTACCTTAGGAAAAAAACAATCCTGTTAGTGCCCAACAGGTCAACCACTGTACGACGAAACCAAGTTTGTATGATATTTGTAGTGGCACTGTTGTGATCAAACCGTGTCTGTAACATTCAAGTTCCAGAATAAAATGATATTACCAGGTGAAGTATTCTAGGATAGTTTGCAATAAGAAACACACTTCTGTCGCTGTTGACATATTCACAACACACTGTGCTGATTTTAAGACATAAATATATTAGCACTGTATTCAGTTGTGTCTTTTGGTATATAAAATTGTTAATTCGTTTCATTAGTTGTAAATATTTATTCCAAGCAACTCTAGTTCATCCAAGTCGTTGGGGCAAGTGATCTGAGCAGTCAGGTTGTATGAATTAAAACATATTCAGGCGTACTACTGTGGTCCAACTGGTTAGTAATTACTCCCAATCGTTGCGACTCTATTTCTTCTAGGTTCCGTTGTACTTGACTGTCATGTTTATTGAACACAGAGTAATGATCATATGACCTGAAGCCTACATTTCCATACAGGTATATTTACTATTAACAGACGACCCATGTACCATGGATGATTCGACCAATCGCATTTTTGTTATGAAATTACCGCTATTCTGATCTTCGTTGCTGACTGTCCTTTAACAGACCTCTATGAAACAGCTAGGAGTATAAAGGCAGTGATCTTCTTGTAAAATGCAAATATCTTATGCTGAGATGCCAAGATAATAAGGATACTTATTTCAAAACAAAATTTCATCCTGAAAATGATATGATTAGCCCCAGTATGTACAATGACTATAGCTTCAATTTTATACGATCGCCAACTAATTACGGATAATTAAATGGCATAGAAAAATGCAGATCAAGCACAATATTACCATTGAAGTGACTCATACAGTGTTAATAACTCCATATGCAAATGGTTTATTTATCGTCCGAATGTATGGTGTAAATGTCCTTTGATTTGAGGCATTGAATCCAGATGCATATACACATTGTATGTGCATAGACAATGTACCTGTCCTCAACTTTTATGGTCAATGTAGTCTATGGGTCAAGGTTATAACATGTGAATTCGTCACCTCTATTGGATGTCAGCTAACAACTGAGCGTAATATGACAAGCTCAACCGACCAATCAGAATGAGAGTAGACACATAATGTTCATAGCATGAATTTCACGTTAACATTGTTCATGCCTAGGCTAGCATTGACATATCGTTACTGATTATAGGCTTGTTTAGTCGGGCACGTTTCAATTAACTCTATTCCGGAATTATTTTTGATATCTTCGATACATGTAGTGTCCATGTGAAATTTTTCTCGGATTAAGTAATGTCTATATCATGTGCTGGATGCGGTGGTCCCATAGTAGAGAAAACTCTGTTAAATGCAATCGATCGGTTTTGGCACACTTCCTGTTTGAACTGTTCTTGTTGTGGTCTACGGCTTGATGAATTAGGACCTTCCGTTTTTGTTCGCTCAAATATGCTGTTATGTCGACAAGATTACCTCAAGTAAGTTTATCATCCCTATTAGTTTATTTACCATCTAGCTTATTAAGACTAACTTCACTACTGTACCTATCCATCGTTATTTTTTGTATCCGTTTTGTTGTAGCGTGCTACAGTAACTAAGTTTTGCACCTTAATTTGTAGCAATCTTGAACCATCTGGTTTAGCTCCAGATTATATTTAGTGATGTCATGATGTCAACCCTTGAGTAATATTAATAATGTAAATTTGACGGAGTAGTGACTGTGGCAAAGCGTTCAACTTTCAGTTTGATTCGAACCCCTCTAGACTTCAGTTTGATCAAAAGAGTAGCATTACTAGCTTTCACACGTACACTGGTCAAGAGTCAAGAATACAGATATAGTTGGTTAGTGATTTAATAATAATAACTAGTAATCTGGTCGCAATGAAGTAAGTGCATTCTTCCTGTGGGTTTAAAACATCGTGTTGTCCTACATACAAGTTATATATTTTGATTCGTCCTAACTTGTTTTAACTTTCGCTGGCTCACTAATATTAGTATCCTCTTTATTAGTTTGTCCAACATCATGTTACTTTGCTATTTTCATTTGTAAAATAAACCATTAAACACCATAAGTGTACAATCGATGAGTTGATAAACTCTCGAATCTAACTAATTCACATTTTGTGACGCAAATACATATATTTATATCACTTTTCAATGATAGTAAATTATTCGATTTGGTTGACTTTTCCATGTATTACTTCTTGTAGTGCTATATATTCATTTCATCTACAAGTTTGTACACTCAACTTCAGGCAAAACCTTGTAAGGGTTAATGAAATTACACAACTCCAAACCAAATATTAGATGATCTAATCAAAAACCTCTCGGTTAAATGTCTGTTGACTTAATCACCAAGCCACCTGGAAGTATCGTCGACATTTTTTTCTATAGATCATATCACTTCAAATCGCTGCTTTATTCCTAATTTTCTTGTTATTGTAGCTATATTACCAGTTTCTGCATACTGTGCGTAACTATCTTCGATTCTACATATTGGTTAAGCTTTTAGATCTGTCCATCAACTAAGGGACGAATATATTGCGCAGCAGTTCGTTCTGTTCTACTTTACAGCTGCAAAACGTGGTCATTAAGAGATACTCGTAAGCTACTAGTATTTGATCGCATGTGCTGGGATCGCCGGGTAAATGATATTGTGGTTAGATGAAGGATATTAGAGGATGATGGTTAGTCACTTGATGAGGTTTAAATCTTCATCGACTGAGGTGGTTGGGCCACGTGTTACATGTGCCTGAACGCCGATTACCATGAATCGCAATGCTGACTAGTGTTGGGGACGGTGGGACGAAAGTTAGGGGCGGCCAAACGAGAACGTGACATCAATCCCTAATGTCACTAACTTCTAGTCTGAGCCATGTTGGTAGATGCAGACTACTTGGTTGGGTCCGTGTGACTCGTAGCCAATGATTGGAGACTTAGTGATATGGCTCAGAACCTATCACAATGGCATCGTTGTATGAACTCTTTGTCTTCCTTTAAACTGTGAGATTAAAATTGCTTTATGTTTTTCTTTCTACGAATTTCTTCCTGTACTATGTCCTTCTATGTAATCCTTTTTTATATATTACTACCATTGAAGTAACTATTTCCATAAAGTTGGTGTTCATCTTGTGTTAATAAGGTGTGGCTACTTGGACCGATGCATATGCGCCTGGTCCTACGTTGTAACTGACTGACTAGGTTCAATTTATTTTCTACTTACGTCTCTGTCGTTTAGAGTTGAATGTCAATCGTTTCATCTTATTCTTGTATTTTGCTATTCGGCATTTGCTAAGTAGAAATAAACGAACTTCTTTTCATATCGGAAAACTGATGAACGAAGAATTTTTTCACTAAGTTCTCATCAGGTTCTACAGTTAAAAATCAGAAATACGACCAAACTCGCAATCAGGAGCTCACTTATCGTATCTGGCTAAGTAGTCTGATTTGTAGTGAATTTATCGACATTTTCATCCACTCTTAAATATAACTTGCTTTCTTTTGATATTAAATTAACGGGTTTATGATGACTCTTTAGCCGATGTTCTTAGTGTTTTTCAATTACTTTGGAATATTCAAATACAACTTATTGCTTTTGTTTAGTTCCGAACTTACGATTTTATAACCAAGTTTCTTTTCTGTTTGGCATTAGTTATATTGTGGTAGTAGACGATAACTTTAAATGATGTTTTCATTCGCTGTCTCGTCGCACCATTTCTAAGGATTATTAACTAATTTCCAAAAAATAACTGTTCAACCATTCAATCTTCCTGCTTCTGTTTGGGCATCCGGACAGTATCGTAGCCCACACATAAATCAATCGACTTATGTAGCGCATATGTATTCGGTTCCCTTTTCTACCAATATTTATGTTCAAATAAATAAACAATAAAAATAGATGAATCTTATAAATCATGGCATTAAGTGCCTGATTTCACCAATAATCGGAAAAGCAATATGGCTCAGTAGATTACACAATTGTTTTATCTGGTTCTGACTTGCCACTGTCTACTACTAAAAGTTAAAAGTGCGGCTCAGAATCGTTTCTATTGGGTAACATTTTCTCGTCTATTCTCAAATTTTTCTAACTTTCACTTAGTGTACGTAGATAGACAGCACACTTGGTAGTAGAAATTAGTCAAATCTGTATATTATAAAATTAAATCTAAGTTCGTAGTTCGATTATATTTCGCTTTAAACAATCTTAAAATTAAACAGCCTTCATTGTTTGATCTCCGTAGTACACTAACGGATAATTTTAAAATCGAGTCATATTTAGAGGCGCTTTGTGGTTACTCGATGTTCTTTATAAACTTCTAAGTTGTGAAAACTTATTTCCTCTAGATATATCCCATCATATTTGAATCTCAGCTCTATTAAACAACTGCAAGGTTATTTTTAAAAAGTAATTTCATACTCGTTTGTTAATTTTTGTACAAAACGATCGGATTAACTATATACTCTATTTTGGTCTGACATATTTTTGTAAATTAGTTTTCTCTTATTTTCTAATGAACAAGTTTAGCCTATTAATTATCCTTTCTTAATTAGCTTCTCGCATGGTTGCTTCTATGTATGTATGCTGTGTACAGTCTTGTGCATATATAAACATGCTTAGGTAGTTACGCTTTGTTAATGTGTAAGCGACATACCTTTGTAGTTACGTTAATTAAGAAGCGTCTAACCTAAGTTGATACATAATGCTATTCCAACTCTTCTCTGCTATATATATATATATATATATATATATATATATATATATATATATATATATATATATATATATATATATATATATATATATATATATTCCCTCAGTATCATACCATTTCATTTCATTGTATTCCCCCTTTTCCCTGGTCTTGTCACTTCCTCATCTCGTTTGTTTTTGATTTCTTTTTGTCATGTTTGTTACCATCAGACAAAAACCAAGTTAGAGAAATAGCGGAAAGAAGGTAAGTTATAGGACGAAAGTAATATTTCTGATGCAAAAAATAATGGTGCCTAAAATTAGTTATTTTTCTTTTTTATCTAACTTTATTGGAAAACTGAGTATAATAGGTGGTAGAGCAAAACAAGGTAGATGCCAGTAAACAAATAAACTCATCACAAATAGTAATCATAGTCTACTAGCTAATTAACTTTTAGAAAACTCATTTAAACTTAATTTATACGTAAATTACTTATTTGTTTTCTATACATACAAGTTTAGTTGTCCGTATATACTTGATAGTATAGACATGATATGATTGTCAGTTAATTGTCATTTATAACACTAATTTTACCCACTAAACACTCGTTGGACTAAAACGTTTGAAGCTTTCGTTAGCCATATTTGTTTATTTGGAATTTACCTTTTAAATGAACTGGCCGATTTCGCTTGTTAAGATCTAGTTTTATTTGGAGGGAGGGACTGCAATAAATTAGTTCTCGACATCAATTTGCTATTTTAATAACTTGATCTACTTTTGTATTCCAGTTTCCTTTCTACTAATATTCAATGAGTCCTTTTTGTTTGTTACGTATGTGTATTTAGTTTCTACTCCCGTTGTACATAAATTTCAAGTCTGTTAAAACTTATAATGGTTAAAATTAATTTCTAATTCACCTGACTAGTCATGTAATAGACTTTGAACCCCGACTACCAGAGCTAATGATTATTTTCCTAAACCGAAACGTATGGTTCAAGGAAACGACCAAATAGTTGAAGGATAGTTCGTAAAACAGATCAAAACTTCATATAGTAGTTAGAGCATTCAAATTTATTGTTGCAATAATTTTTGGATGTTTCCCTTTTGTTTTTGCAGATTGTTTGGCCTATCAGGAACATGCGCCAAATGTCGAGTTCAAATTCCTCCAGATGAATTGGTGATGAGATGTCAAGACAAAGTCTATCATGTGAACTGTTTTTGTTGTACTCACTGTCATTCTCTGTTGCACCCCGGTGATAAAGTGTGTTTTATGGATGGGAATTTATTTTGTGAACATGAATTCCCTCATTTGTTTTCTGGGCCTCCCAAACTGACTTCACTGAGATTAACATCATCTTCCGCAAGTCCTTGTACTTCTAATGATTCTGATATTGGTCGTGGCCAAATGTCTATTGAGTTACAAACAAAAATGAATGGTGCTTCATCTTCTAGATCTTTCAATATAAATCCCTCGTCTTTAGAGCAGCAGCAACAACAGCCATCTGGTGCTTTGTCAAATAAACTCATATTTTCCCAATCCGATATTTTATCATCACTCAGTCCTCATCCATCCAGTCCAATTATGTCATTTCCTAATAACATGCAACCAAATCAAGATAATAATCAGCAACTTGTGCAACACGGGTTTTATGTTACAGACGTTGAGCAACCGTTCGGTGACACATCTAGTGTACAAAACTCGTCCGAAAAACCATTGAAATCATCAATGATTAACACGACAAATGAGACAACTAATGGTCGTAAAAAACAACAAAAAGTTAGTTAACTTGATAAGGCTTTATCTAGTATCATTAGATGTTTTCTTACAAAACAATAGCACAAGAGTCATTACTTCATACTTCCATTTAGATCGACAACTAGTTAATAGGAATTTATTAGTTTCAGTAAGTAGAGTTATTATTAGGAATTGCATTCGCACAAACAAATTTTATAGTTGTGTTTCTTTTTGATTCCAGCATGTACAATGATGATCAAGTGGATTATAATAAACTAGCATATTGGCACATCATTATACTATTGGATTGCGCTTTGAATTATAGAGGTCTAAATCGTAAATTTACCACTATCTATTTTCAGTCAGTTTACGCACTCTGTAGTCTGTCTGATTCATCTTCGTAGAGGAAAATAACTAAATATTTCAAAACATATGTATCTAAATAATAAAAGTTTGAAAAATCCCGTATAATTTACAGATTCTGTGAGATGTGAGTTCATAACACACAACATCCGAAAATATGTTTTAATGATCAAAAAGCTGATATAATATCACAAACTCGTCGAAATCGTAAAGTTTTGACGATTTAATTCTACTTAACTGGTTCGGGTATACCATGTCTACTGCGAGATTAGATTGTTCTGACTTCGATACTATGCAAGATTGTATACTCAAATTATTAAGGCTTCTAAATCTAAGGCATTAGTAATATTCTGTCTTGCCTCATTTCCAGCCATCATCCAACATGTCAGCTTTATCTTAATAAACATACAAGCGAATAGAGTCATAATATTCTAGACTCATCGTAATATGTAATTATATGAGCGTGGTCCTATGCTTTTTAGGGATTAATTTCACTTGAAAACCTACATTCACGCTAATCCGAGAAGAGGAAGCACTCTTCGTGAAAGATAAACAAAAATAAAATAGTCATTTTGCTACGGACGTACGAATTCAATCAATTGCTTGCGAACAATTCCAATTAACCATGATGATGCATAAATGTCCCATAAAGTAACCATATCATACAAGAGTTCTGAAGCTATCCTCTTGTTTATATTCTTGACTGATCGGAGTTTAGTCAAGGATATCAACAATAGGATAACCCAATAACCCTTACAAATAGATTAAATTAGTACCCATTGCACAATTGAGAGGTTATCTACACTTGGTAGCTAAGTGGATGTTGCATTGGCGTTTGAAGAAAAAGGTACTTTGTTTGAATCATGAAGTGGACATAAACTATAGGGTGCAAGCACTTCTAACTGACGAGTCCCAAATAGGACGAAACGCACCTTGGATTCCACCGCTAGCCACAATCTGTTTGTATCAAACCATACGGTGATCAATAAAGAGGATACCTGGAAGTTAGTAGCATTACCACTCACTTCTGTTTGCAATCACTGTTGAATTTGCGTAAAATAGTGGCGGAAGCCTGGATAATCTAGTATTAAAATCTTAACAGTATCAAAAGTATGTGATTGATCTGCAAATTCTCAGTATCTTTATTATCTTTTATCTTCAGTTGATTGTGGAACCTTGAAATGTAGTAGTTTGTCTAAGAAAGCCACTTTTAGAGCATTGACCTCAGAACAGTTATTTTTTTGTTAATGAAATAGACTCCCTAATCTTTTTTTTAGTTGGACACTTCAAAATTTGTTGACTGACATCTAGTACGAAAGCTATTACGTAGTTTTTAAATACATTTCCATGTGAAAGACTGCGAATTAATTAGTGCATTTCTCGCTGATATTGATTGGTGCTAAGGTAATCGCAAGATTAATCAAATTCTACTTGAAATGCCAAGAACTCTTCAGGAACAGTAACCGCTCGTGGATTTTCACGCCAGACTTTTTCTCTCTGGTTGACATTACTCTTAGTTCGCTAGATTGCTATGTGCTAGGAATTCATTTTGCTACTATAGATACAACAGTTGTACTAACTCGTTTTGTTCCACTTCGAACATCAAGTTCCCTGCAATATGTTCTCTTTTCGTGTTAGCCGTCAGGGTTTAATATGTCGTGTGTCAGTCAGTCAGTCAGTCAGTCAGCTACAACGTAGGACCAGGCACATGTGTGCATCGGTCCAGGTTGCCATACCGCATCAACACAACAAGATGAACACCAGATTCATAACAGTGGTTAGGTAAAAGGTGGTAATATATAAGAGAAAGATTGCATATAGAGATATAGTACAAGAAGAAAGAATTGGTTCGTAGAAAGAAAGATATGAAGCGATTTTAATCTCATAGTTTAAGGGAAGACAGGGAGTGTATACACCGACGCCGTTGTGATCGATTCTGAGCCATGTCACCAAGAGTCTCCAACCATTGGTTACGATAGTCACGCGGACCCCAACCAAGTAGTCTGCATCTACCAACATGGCTCAGACTAGAGGTTAGTGACTTCAAGCACTGATGCCACGTTTTGGTTTGGCCGCCCCTAACTTTCTTCCAACCATTTCCAATACTGGATAGCATTGCACGTCGTGGTAATCGGTGTTCAGGCATACGTAACACGTGGCCCAACCATCTCAGTCGATGAAGATTCATAACCTCATCAACTGATTTACCATCCTTTCCTAATACCCTGCGTCTAACCTCACTATTACTTACCCGATTATCCCAGCAGACGCCAGCAATATTTCTTAGGCATCTGTGGTCAAATACTAATAGCTTACGAGTGTCTTCTACTCTTAATGGCCATGTTTCGCTACCGTAAAGTAAAACAGAACGGACTGCCGCGCAGTATACTCGTCCTTTTATTGATAGACGGATATCTCGCCTTCGCCACAGGTGACGTAAGTTGGCAAAAGCCAAACGAGCTTTTCGAATCCGTGCTGAGATTTCGTCCGATACCAACCCATTAGGGCTGATCAGACTTCCAAGATAAGTGAAGTTGTCAACGCGTTCGACTACTTCACTCCCTATCCTTAGTTCAGGTGTTGATGCAGACAAGTCCTGAAGCAACAACTTGCATTTAGAGGGAGAGAAGCGCATTCCAAACATCCTGGCATTGTTGCTCAGTGCTACCAGAAGACTCTGCATTTTGTCAGCGTCTTCACCAAACAGGACTATGTCATCTGCGTATTCTAAGTCGATAAGTGGACCTCCTGGAAGGAGATCAATACCCGAGAACTCAGTCGACGACAAAGTTATTTCCATTAGTAGGTCTATGATGAAGTTAAACAAAAATGGGGAAAGTGGACATCCTTGAGGGACACCACTTGAGGTTGCAAAACTAGATGACAGTTCGCCATAAGCTCTCACTCGACTAGTAGTGTTCGAGTAAAGAGCCTTTACAAGGTTTATGTACTTCTGGGGTACGCCTTTCAATGACAGACACTGCCACAGAATCTCGCGGTCTACCGAGTCAAATGCTGCTTTTAAGTCAAGAAAGACCACCATCGTCGGACGCTGATAAGTATGCCTGTGTTCTAGAACCTGACGAATGGTGAATATGTGGTCGATGCAGCCACGACCAGGTCTGAAGCCAGCTTGGTTTTCTCGTGTTTGCAGTTCACGAGTCTTAGTTAGGCGTCTGATTATTATTGAGGCTAGTATTTTAGATATTATATTAGTTAAACTAATCCCTCTGTGGTTGTCACAGGATGATTTTGACCCTTTCTTATATATTGGGACGATAAGTGATTGTGACCAGTCAGATGGAATAACGTCTAACTCCCAGATCTTAGCTAAAATATTAGTCAACCTAACCGCTAAAATTGGACCACCATCCTTAAAGACTTCTGGAACCAATCCATCTGGACCAGCAGCCCTTCCTCGTTTCAGATTATCTATAGCCTTATGAACTTCAGCAAGAGTTGGAGGACCAATCCATCTGGACCAGCAGCCCTTCCTCGTTTCAGATTATCTATAGCCTTATGAACTTCAGCAAGAGTTGGAGGACCTACTTCAATGTTCCATTCACGCTGTCTGGGAATGGAGGGTAGTTGTAGAGTAGCTGAAGGCCAGCTGAACTGTTCTCTGAAATGTTCAGCCCATCGTTCTAAACGCCTGGACTGGGAGCAGATGTCGTGTGTAAATAGCCGTTGTCGATTTTGACGATAACCTATCGTAGTAGAGTATCTTAATCGTTTTGTCCCTAAATCCGTAAACATTATAGGCCCTTAATCAACACCAATAACCAGAAACAACAATTAGAGACGAATTCGGCTACTTCATTTACTCAGCTTAGATTAAAATTCATTTGATTGGTCATTTAAAAACAAATATTTCGTCTACTACTGAATAATTAGGTTGGAATGGAAATCATCTGAAAATAATCAAAAGTTAATATAGAATAAATAGTCAATAAGATCACTCATACTGTCGATTATTTGTTAAACTGTAGTCCATGTAATTCCTATTTCAAGTGGTCTGTTTGTGTCGAGAAGACAATCGATCATAGTTTAAAGTTCAGTATTATATTATGTGTTCTTTCTGGTGTTTTCGCTGCCACATAATTCTCTTACACCGACTTAAGCACCTAGATTATTAACTCTTATAATACTTCGATTTTATACATATTTTCTTCGAATTCATCATACCAAAATTAATAGGTCTGAGATTTCGAAACAGCGTTATGATTTTTTACGGTGTATTTAGGTCATTTTTATTGCTATAGCTCAATTTGTATTTTATAATGTTTAATTGACTTCTTTCTTTACCTATAGAAAGTAGATAACCGTCGTTGCCCTGCCCTCCGTGTTTGTTGAGCCTGAAAGACTATATTGTGATTGGTCCTTTAGAACCACAATTCTTTTCGCCAATTTTTCGAAATTTTCTTAATGTAAGAATTGAACGTTTATCTTTTTCTGTTTCGTTTTTGTAATAAAGACTTCACCAGACTATTTGGAAATATGTACTATCAATTAAGACGTCCAATATTCATTATTCTTTGCTACAACAGTTTGTACAAATATTTTTTGTTCTATCTTTAATCCTGTTCAGATAAATAAGTGCTTAAATCTCATGTTTTAGAGAACTGACATTTTGTCGTGCTTTGTGTTCATTGGGAGGGATCATCCGCATGCATCTTAAGAAAGCATGTTTTTCGTTTGTACTTGACACTTACGTATGGTAGTACCGCTAAAGTAATAAGATTTCACCAATTCTTAAAATCCTTTAATTAATACTTGTCGTTATAGCACAAGTAGTGTCATTTTGTGAGAGGATTTTATCTTCTACGTCACCGGGTGTCTGTCAGGTGTATCTTAATGCATGACAAGTGATCGCATTTACTGAATCCTTAGAATCATCGCTAAATTGAATTCTTCAATCTTAACGTATTTTTATTACCAAGGTTCCTCACAGTTTTACAGTATATTGTCTCCATCGGAAATTTGCCGTCAGAATTAACTGATTTAGAAACTGTATATCATGTTAGTGTCGTAATTATCTATGAGTGTAGATGATGTCAAATAGCTAGTATGTAACATTTGTTCAGTAAACACCAGTTGTCGTGCTTCGGAATTTTCAACTTAGAAAGACTGTCGAGTCTGTTATTGCTTTAAGGAAGTCAAGTTCTTAAAACCGATATTTGTCCTACAAGATTCTTCTGATAAAGCAACATCTATGGGGTAATATACGTAACCATGGTATGGTTCAAATGGCCTGGTCTATTGGTTTACTTCCCAGGCTCTTCGTATATATGATTATTATGTATCTAATGCCCTGGTACGGCCGAGAGTGGGGAGAGTCCGCTCTCCCTCTCCAAATGCTCTCACACGGCCACGCGTATATAGCCTCTGCCAGGGAAGTCCTACTCACTGCCTTCTCGTGGCGGGGGTGTTGTTTACGAAAATGAGAGGACGAAAAGCGAATGTCTGGCGCTTTAACCGGATTCCAAACCAATGGTGCACATGGGCTCCAGTATCCTGCGGGAACAAATGGCGAATGAACCAATTGTTGGTCACCGGCTTCCATGGGACTGCATCTCCTTACGATGCTCCACTGCCTTGTGGGTCAGACCCTCAGGTCGAAGGCTCGGGGTGTGGCCCCCTAAGAAAACCACCTGCTTCGGTTTGTGCACCCGGGCAGTATCACAGCCCTCACACACATATCGAATGAGATTTGTGTGGCGCATATGTATTTGGTGCCTCTTTGTACCATTATCTATGTGTTGAAATAAATAAATGTATCTAATACGGTCGTAAATTTGATTGCATCGTAATATTTAATCGTTCATTCAACAAGTGATGGCAATATGAAATATGTTTCACTAGACTCCAAGTTTCATTATTAAAGTAACCATAAGTTTGATAACATTCTGTATTGATGAATGGGACCCTAATCAATTAATGTAATAAGAATGATTGGACTTTTGTTGTAATCTGCCTGTGATACTTTTAAGCATGAGTTAACTAGGCTACACGTCACATATGCAGTTGTTTAGAAGTAGAAATGCACTTGCTAATTTACTGCTTTTCTTAACAAGAGTTTTCACTATGACAAACGGAATCCGGCTACGATCTAATAGTCGACTTTTCAGAACAGACCCATATAGTTACAATTAATTGATCACTGGGTGGTGATCAATGACATGTTTGTCAGGTCCTATCGACCAAGTTGCAATATGGCCACTAGCCTAGGTGACTCGACATTGCGTGCACTATGTTGAGATACGATATACCTGTAACCTTGAGGGAACTGATGCTCCCTGGCGGATTCGATCCCTTGTCTCACAGTCAGAGACGTTACCACTGGGCTATCCGGGCTGCGGCTGACCTGTACTAAGAAGGACTTGACAGATATAACATTGATCACCACCCAGTGATCAGTCGATTTTGAATGCATCTCAATCCTACAGGAGGTCAGTCGCAGCCCGGGTAGCTTAGTGGTAACGTTACAGACCGTCAAGCTGGGTGATATGAGATCGAATCCGCCAGGGAGCATCAGTCCCCTTAAGATCACAGGTACACCTTGCTGGCGAGTTCCGAATAGCCCGAAAACTAGGGTTTCCTATCGATTACCTCCAATGGCCGTCTTGTCAGGCTCATAGAGACACTAAATGGTCTAGCTCTTATGACCTATCCATATACAAAATTGAAACAGGTATGATGAGAATTTAACTAAAAATTACTGCTGGTATTTTATGACCTGATATTCACATACAATACGCCCAAATAATAATCTTTTGAGTGAATCCGGGTTGTTAAGCAGTTGGAATCTAAGAAAAAATTAAACCATCCTAATACGGATAAAAACGTTGAAATGGTTAACAACAGAGTACGTGAAATAAAAGTGGTTGAGAGAAGAAACCAATTATATCATTGAAGAATAAATATAGTTCGGTGGAATGGATTTTTTGGTGTGATATTTACTGAAGTCTCACAATCCTATTTAAAGTGATTTCCGAACACTGATATAATGTTTTCTATTGTTCAAAAGGTCACCACGATTGTATGATTTCAGCAAATAATATTATTGAAGTGAAAATCCTATGTATTGAGTTATTTGTATAAAGTAAGATTGGGAAATATGCTTCGAACTAACTAAAATACAAAGTAAATTTTTAAGATTTCATGTTTCAATAGAAATGGGAGCTGATTGTAATTAACAAAATAAATGACTAATAAAACTTGTTTTTAAAGAACTATTGCCTAATGATGATCAGTATAGACCATTGAAATCCAAGGATTTAATGATACCAGTTAGGATTTGACCAAAATGGAATCAGTGTTACAGGATTCATCATAATACCCACAAAAGCGCTTGATGTGGCTCAAGTCATCAAATGAAATAATCTAACCATTCTTAACATTCATCTATTAAAAGGTTTGCTTCTATCCTGAAGATACCCAATTGTTGGAGGAGTGTGAAGAGAGGTGTATTCTTGATTATATGGAATAGATGAGAAATAAAAAATGTTAGTTGGCGACTTATTGAACATGGAATACACTTTTAATGACGAGAAAAATCACTAACAAATCGCAACGACGTAAGGGTGATATGGAAATGATCTGACAGTTAAGACAATCAGTTATCATACGACATCTTAGGTTAAAAGTTCCTAATAAATTTGACTGCAGATTGAATAATAGCTGAACATGAATTTTCGATAAGTGAACATTTGACAGTTGTTTTCACTTGTTATACTATTTCTCAGCGAAACTTGTCAACAACTTTTCAAAATAAAAAGGATCAAGGGCCCTTAAATTTAATATACATAACAGTAAGCTTTTAATTGTAGGTCGGATTACCAGTAATTAAGAATCGTGATCCCAGTTAAATTACATCAACAGAACTTCTACACTCAATAGGACACATTGATATGGCGGTATGATGTATGACACTCAATAATCCACTAGTACTGCGAAAAAAGTATATCCAAGTGATAAGAATTTAGTTATCAGGAACAACAGTGAGTATTAATGAAATCTTGTCTTTCATTTAAGATAGGATATCTGGATACGGTGGATAAATCGTTGAGAATTTGAAGCATAAGGTAACGAGTTCGAATTTAAGTGAACTCGTCGGAATCGAAATAAAATCACATATATCTAATAATTTACAAATAGGTTGAAATACGCATTCTAGATTCTACTGCTAAACACATACGAATAAACTGAAATAGAATATGATATTTTGTACCAGCGTGAATTCACAAAACCATGTCGAAACCAATGCCCGAATTAGTACAGCATACATTGATCTACAAAAATTCATTCATCAAAACAATAAAAGAGAGTTCATACTAATAGCAATGAATACAGGTCGAGACATTCTTCATCAAATGATCTTCCTGAATATTTGTGAAACACATTTACGTAACATTTATTCATAATGATATTTATTGAAGTGAATAATTATTCATTTCACCATTAACAACAATGTGATTTGTCTTCTTACATAAACCTAAATATCATTGTCAGTTGTAATTAATATTATTTTATTTATTAGTCAAAGTTCTGTTTAGTTTAAGGACTAGTGATTATTCCTTTTTTTTAAAGCTTCTACCTAACTGATATATTTCTCCATTCGGATATTTGACTTTTACATTACTGTGCTATTGAATATGTAAACGGTAAAACTAATAACATTTCTTCTTTTGATGAATCTTCTTAATAAGTTTTCTTTTATTTATATTCTTAGATGAAAATAATACACATTGGTCATTCTGTGTATAACTAAATATACAGAAATTCTCATGATTTATATTTATTATATTAATTAGTTTTTGACGTACTGATTTTTTGACAACATAAGTTTATTCAGATACAATTCCATGAAAATAATGATAAACTATACATTCGAGTAATTATAATTATGATTATTTGGATTTCGATGAAATCAGTATTCTATCACTTTTATCTACAATTTTCATCATGCAATTTATATTACTTAGATAATCATTTGATATGAAATATATACTATTAGTGTCATTGATATCATCAACAGATCTTAGCTAGACCACCCTTGAAAAGTTGGAATCATTCGACGGTCGTTTTGTCCTGGTGTGGAATTCCTCAAAAGTACACATTTACGGACCCGAACGCCGGTATCAAATCCATAACCTTAAGCCTTACACGTAAACGTCCAACCACTAGATCACTGAATCAGCACCCAACGGTGTTGCGCGACCGTCTTTCAATGGTGGTCTAACTTAGGTCAGTTTATGATTCTAATCAAATTCTTGTTAGATGTCATTAATCATCGATTGACATGAACTAAATTGACCTGACCGTGTATACATTATATAAGGAAAAACTGAATTTTTATTATGAACTGCTACTCAACAACAGATGACGCATATGCAATGAAGTTACCTGTTGATTAGCCTTAAAGTAATTTTCTATTCACAGCTCTCACATTATAACTCAGTGCAGGTGAGAAGAAAATGTGTGGCGTTCTTCAGACGAAATGTAGGTCGAAATCGATGTCTCGATTTACTGACTTTATAGATTTGTTTTTACATTGATTTACAGTCAAATTTGGAACAAACTTTAACTGAATAATGTTATGTCTTTTGGTCCTGTTAATTATCACGTGACTTATCGCCAACCGACTTATTGACCAGACCAATGACGCATAAACCAGTACGAACAGCCTAGTCACTCCGAGTTCTTATTGGACTTTCGAGATAGTGGCTTCTCGCCTAATCCAGCACG